ATTTAATAAATTTATAATTTTATTTTTAGCTTAATATACTATTTGTTTGGCTTTATACAAATTTTTAAAAAGTGTCCCACAATAATATAATACCCCCCTGTATTAATATATAACATTTATATAAATTTTTTTTATAAAATTATATTTATATAAGTTTATATAAATTCTATATATAATATATATATATAAATTAACAGATATAATTTTTATATATAATAACTATATAAACTTACAGATCTATGTAGATTTTATAAAAAAATAACTTCGTGATGAAAGGATGTTATTTTATTTTTTTACAATAGTTTTTTCTTTATATTACTGATCTCTACTCAGTTTTTTTAAAAATTCTTTCATAGTTAATCGACATACAACTTTGGCAATTTGATTTTATTGTCAGTATCCGTTTCGGGATACATTCGGCTAAGTCAAATTCATCAGATATCTGTTTCGGGATATCAAAACCGCGCTGATGATTTTTATTAAAGTGATTGCACAATTAAATCAATATTTAAGCAACAACACAAATATTCTGAGCGGTTACTTTCAAAAAAATTTTCATACAAATCTGCGAAGCAATTATATACAAAGGAAGTTATTTTTATTTTTTATAATAGTTTTTTTCTTTATATTATGGATCTCTACTCAGTTATTTTATAGTTAATCGGCATACAACTTCAGCAATTTGATTTTAACAAATCAAATTGTTAGTATCCGTTTCGGGATACATCGGCGAAGTCAAATTCGTCAGATATCTGTTTCGGGATATCAAAACCGCGATGATGATTGTTTATTAAAGTGGTTGCACAATTTAAATCAATATTTAAGCAACAACACAAATGTTCTGAGCGGTTACTTTCAAAAAAAATGTCTCCAAAAAATTCAAGTCAAAAAAAACCGAATAACTTCTTGGCTACAAATAAGAAGTCTGGACGAAAAGAAAAAAGAAAAGCACGATTATACAACAGACACGTTATAGTTAAAAAAATAAACGATCAAATTAGGCGTCTTTCTAAACAAAAGAATGGTGTACCTATTGAAGATGAATCTATTATGAATCGAATTGAATGGTTCACTAATTTGAAAGAATTAACTGAGACTTCAAACGCAGATAATATTTCTCTATTTGAAAACATTTATTTAGATTTCGAATCTAAAAAAAAAGAAAGCGATAATATGATTAAAAGGCAATTTTTATTATATATAATTGTAAGTTATTCAACATTATTAATATTTCCAAAAATTTTCTAGCTTACGTCAAGAAAGCGACCGGCTTCGAATAGAACTTAGTGAAGCTAAGAATAACCTTGAACAACTTAAAAATGAAAAGGATGAACTCGTAAGATATTATAATCAAACTCAGCAAAGTATATTTCCTGAATATCTTTCGGAAATTGACTATTTACGAAACAGGGTGCTCAATTAGAATTGCAGTTAGGCATTGGTACAAGTGGTGCAAGTAATTATAGTATAGTCACGAATGAGAGTTCAAATGAGTCTGATGATGAAATGGACGACACAAATTTTTAGATGTCAATATTGTAATCATTCACTTTATACAAAGATATAATAAAATTTTCATTTTATTTGTGATTTAAATTAATGAGAAAAAAACGAATAACAAATAAATTATTCAAGACTTTTTAAATTAATAAAAAAACAATCATATGACATCAGATCATAAACTTCACGATTAACTTCTATTGTAGTAAATATTGAAGGAAAAAATCGATAACATCCATATAATTGTAATTGTTAGAAAAATATTTCTATAATTTTGAAAGTGAGAAAAAAAAGAACGACCCATTGAGCACATGATCTATATTTCACACGTCATAAGATCTAAAGAAATAATTAAACCAATTTCATGAAATAAAATACTACTTATCGAATTTAGAGAACAATTTAGCTTCTTAATCTGATTTCGTCGATAGCGAGTCTTATATCTTCGTACTCAAAACTTCGTTGTTTTCCTAATTAATTAGTTAGAAAGATTGACTGTGCGTAAGACAAGTGCAAATTAATGAGTTTAATAATTAGAATAATAATCGCACCATATAAAAATTTAAAGCAATGGTCAGTTTCGATGGGTGACCTGGCCAAAATTTGGGCCGAAAACAATACAGAAATAAGTTTTTAATTCATTATCGTGAAACATATGTAAGCAATTAGATTCTGGTTTATAGATAATACCAATCAGTGAATATTTTTATTTCTCCAGTTCTAGTAACTATAGTAGAGACTAAGCAACATCATATTAAGCCACAATTTAATCAGTATAACTTTCAATAAAATTTATTTACAGCATTCTTACGTCGAAATAAAAATGAGAATACATCTCTTGAAATGTGTGTAAAATTTTGAAAAGCGTATTTAGAGCATATAAATCTTCTGAGCCTAAACATGTAATACATTATAGAGGATTCACTTATACAAGGTTGACGTAAATTTGTTAATCGTCATCAAGGTAATCAAAATTTCATGATTTGAATGGTCAAAGACAACGAGTAATCTTGTGATGTGTTTGGCAGCCTCGTGTAACTTTATCTAACATCTATAAAAATTATTTGGAGTTTATTTTGCGGTCCTCTCCAAATTTATTGTGCCGGTATGCTTTGATTCGTTTGTTACAGGTAAGAATGTTGATGTTATACGACTGATTTTTCACACGGTGTGCAACACATAAAAAAATAAATTTACAATACCAGATCATTCCGCTAGTACATGGTATGATTATAATCCAACACCATTTTTA